CCTAAGCAAGCACCACTGGCATGCATATAAGCAAGGCTGCGGTGGTGACAAAGTTGACAGCGAATGAATAAGTGAGGGACGATTTGCTTCCATTTGTTATATCCTTCTCTCCTACATAATGGAAATCATTTACGTCAGTGCATCTCGTAAACATGATAACTATTGAAATAACAACCGTGAAGAACCAGCAATGGCTACAGTGAGAGAGGAACACAACATAAAACATGTCTTACCATCCTTAAGAGTCTTGATGGTGCTGATAATGTCCAAATGTTCTTCCGTACCGGCGTATGCTGACAGTCTTACTATATACACCGTGTCGGGTTGCAACCCGTCAACAGTAACCGACCCATCGGTGAATTCTACCTGCTCACTGAAATGGGGAGTCGTGGCACCTATCTTTTGGACGATGAGGTAAATAAAGTGCAAGGTGGCTCCGTTAATTGTGTGGTCATCCCAGCCAAGTTGGATGGATCGAGAACCAATACGACTCCATCTAAAGTGTTGTGGAAGTGGCTTTCCTGTAGTGCCTTCTGTCACTTCGGTCTCTTTGGTACTTTCCGTCGGTTCGGTTACTTTGGTTACCTCTAATGTTGTCAATGTCGTATCTGAAGAAAGCGATCATAATCCTTGATATCATGTCGTAAGTGTTTTCCTAGCAGCATGACAAAATATTTGCCTTACCGCTATCTCCACTCACTCCACTCCATAGAGCTGAGAATGCGAAGATGAGCCAGAAGAGCTGGTGCATAGCCACGTCACGCAAATGCTTGCCTAGCACAATCCATGCGACACATATTAGAGTCCATTCCACTCACAGCAACCAATCAGAGCAGCCCCAGATTCACCTGCCAGGCCACCATGTGAGCCACCTCACTCACTGCGATAGACATTCAGAGTGCAGACAAGTCAATATGTGAGGCATCCACGACAAATAATAGGCTTTCGTGCCTCCATTCGTAGACCTCACAACTTTTGCATCACTCAGTGGTTGCTCTCCTCTCACTCAAGACTACTCTTAACTGCATGGGGAGCAGAGAAGCGAGTGCGAAGCAGGAGGCAGAAGAAGGAGGAGCAGGAGGAGGACGAGAAGGACTGGAAACGGGAAAAACGGACTTGGAGAGGGAAATAGTGCTACAGCAGATTGAATTTGTGGATGGTATCAAACTATTTACTGTCTTCTCTGAAGGTTCACCTAACTGGCAATAATTTGAAGTGTCCAATCGAATGCGATATCAACCGTCTCCCTCACCGCTGTATCCTGCGATGTACGAGGCACAGCCT